GCAGCCCATCTTCTACCAGAGCCCTCAATCTGTATCCTTCTTTAAACCTGATTCAATAGAAATAAAAAAAACTAAAAGTGAGGAGTCGTCGCAGTTTTCCTGACTATTTTGTGATTTCATATTTGGATCTCACTTTGAACTGAAAACTGGTGAATATTAGTTAAAATTGATCATAGTGGAAATAAGGAATCCTTGAAATGCGTCAAAGTCCGATTTTTAAGGTCTTCATTCTGACCTAGATCTAGATCTAGATTAGTGTTTTTCAACTCGGAGACCCGTTTCACCCACCAGGTTTACTGAAAACCTTTTTTCAAACCTGAAATTAGGGAAAAATAGTTTCCTCAACCTCTAAATCTGTTAGCATAGTAAGACCATCCCAGAGCTAACCTGCTCAGCAGCAGATCTTCCTTCATAAACTCTCTGCCCCTCTTAAAGCTAATCATGTTGTTCTGCCATAGTCTTATGCGAACAACAAAAAGGAAATATTTTACTAGGGGTCCATATTAATAAGCAGGTTTAACAAACTCAGACTCAAATCTTCATCTCTAAATTGATCTAGCTTAAGGTTCGAAACGTTGAGTTTTCAGTTTCATAAAAGCTGCTATTAGTTAGTTTAATCAACTCTGAGTAGATCCACTCAGAGTTTAACACGTGCATAACAAGGATGAAAAGCCATTATCAGTGGAGCCCCGATTTAACATGTCACCATGACAACAGGCAACAGGAAGTGCCCATTTCTCCCCACTGGAACTAGAGATTTAAAGTCGTATTTAATGTATTCTTTATCAGACATATTGTCCCAAAAGTGAGAACATTTCTATTTAGAAAAAAACCTGTCTTAAATTGTGTTTTTTCCCCCCGTTATCTTCTGCAGGCCAGTTTGTTCTACGTCAACCTAAACACCTAAATTCGGCCATTCATATAGCAACAGTCATCCGTCATCAAACTTTTTCAGTCATAGCATCTTAATTGATACGTTGCAGCTAATATACACAACGGTTGAAATGAGAATGAGAATAATTTCCTTTCCCATTGAGTTCCGTCCTAGTTTTCACGGGGAGGGACGTCTGTGTCTTCGGCAGTGTTTATTTCATCAGCTTTTTTTTATTTAGTCTTAATCTGAATGACGAAAATCAATTTTAGTCATATTTGTCATTTTTGTCAACGCTGTAAATTATAGAACTTCTCCACACACTGCTTTTTTTGAACATATATATCACACTGTACAGAATAAAAATTCTCCACACACTGCGTCTGTTTTTCTCTATTTTATTTATATAAAACTGTGCTGAATAGAACTTCACACACTGATTCTCTTTTTAACATATATCCCTCTGCACACATTGAACCTTTTGTCAGCTTGTTTCATCATATCCACAAAGTCTTCCTTCTCAATGGTCCTTGCAGTGAGGCCAGAACGCCCAATCCACTTTTCCACTGAGATCTCCAGGGCTTTCTGCTCTTTGGCGTGAGGGGTGGGGGTGCATCTCTGCAACAGACTTCCCTTCCTTCCCCAACCTCTGATCTGGCTGTGGTGTCACTGTGTCAGGTCCAGTCTATCAGTAGAACATCTTTCTTCTATGACAGAGAGACTGACAGATACATGCACAGGAAGGCACACACACTCAGCCACATGCATGCCCCCGTGCACGCACACACACATCATTACCTTCGTCCATATGTCAGCTGTTGGCACCTCGGAAGTCGCTAGAGATTCGCTGTGTTCTTCCCTGCCATGTTGAAGCTGCAGACTCTGGCGGCGTCCTGCCTCAGGTGTTTTCCTTTGTGTTGTAAACGAAATGGCTCCATACATCCAGGCATTGTTTAACAAACCGCACACCGGTATCCGCAATGACTGCGAATTTGAGCTATGAGTATAAGCCCTCTGCTCCTACTGACTGAGCGGCACGAGGGACTGTGGGACAGGCGCCGTGTAGGGATGAGCAGGGCAACAACGGTAGTCTTCTACGAAGCTTAAGAAACACTTATATTAACAATTACAAATTCATTATAAACAATTACATTTATTAATGTCCATTCGTCAATGGATCATAAATTTCGTCTGTCTTTCATCATACTTATATTTTCTGGAAACAATTTTTGTGCGTTTTCGTCTCGTCATCATCACGGGAAAAAGGGGCGTTGACTAAATATTATCCAGTTTTCATTTTCAAAAGAGCTGCGTTGTCTAAGGCAGTACGCAGAGAACTAGCAACCCCATCAACAAAATCATCAGCCTGTGAAGGGGAATAAACTAAGCTTTTGCACTCTGCAGCACTGCTCAGCGACACAGAGGAGAGAGAAAGTGAAGCAGATTCTTTAAAATGTATAACTGCACTATCTGATAATGATCTACTAAAATTGAACCTTCTTTTGGGGGAGGAGAACTCTGTTAAAGTAATCATGAAGGTTATTAGAAAGTGGTCAGAGAGGACAGGGTTGTGAGGAAATACTGTTATTTCTTCACATTCTATGCCGTATGTCAGCACAAGATCCAAAGTATGAAGATGAGAATGTGTGGGACTATTCACATTTTGAACATAACCAATAGTGTCTAAGATAGCATTAAAGGCTGCTCTTAAGCTATCGCCTTCAATGTCAGCATGGATGTTAAAATCTCCCACTATGATGACCCTGTCAGTATTTAATACCAAATCAGAAAGGAACTCTGAAAACTCATCTAAAAATTGAGAGTAAGGACCTGGTGGACGATACAAAGTTACAAAAAGAAGAGGTTTTCTTGTTTTGAAATTTGGATGAGGGAAATTAAGGGTTAAATGTTAAAAAGAGTTAACTGCCGTGGGAGTAATCAGTAAGTCAGACTGAAAGATTGTTGCTACTCCTCCTCCTCGCCCAGAACTTCTGGGTATGTGAAAATTGAAATAGCTTGAAGGAGTTGCCTCATTTATGCTCACATAATCCTCTTGCTGCAGCCAGGTTTCTGTAAGGCAAAACAAGTCAATGTGATTATCACAAATCATGATACAAAAGGAATCCCTAAATTATATCCAAAGCAAGTATTTCATTACATACTTTTTATTTTTGGTTAATGACCCAGGGGAAAAGGTACAAAGATCTTTGAATATTTCTCTTTCATTGTCATCTTATTTCTATATATTTAAATGTTTACTTGAATTATCATTAAAACATTTTTTTAAATGTTTCCTTTAAGCATTTTAACATTTTAGTTAGCATATTCTTTCAATTAAGGTCTGGATTGCCATGGCATTACAAGTCAGTTATGTAGGTTATTTCTATATTTTTTATACCAAAATCCAGTGAATTTTAATCTACTTTGACCTCTGAGCAGCAGTAACCAATGGGTCAATTGAAGGAATAAAGTAGAAAGAAGAATGTTTTTGTTCTTTGCTTTTTTTGGGCAATGAAGATTTTATTGATCTGTGTTTAATGCATAATTCATAGTAGATCAGGAAGTGTTTGCTTTACAATGGAAACCTTGTATGTTTGAAACAATTCCTTTATTGTACATTTTGTTAGCTTGTCTGTCTGCTAAATTAACCAATATGATGTTAAACTAGATCTGCTATTTTCACAACTTTTGTGAGACGCTTTTTTTATAAAGTAGAGCATTAATCCTTAAAAAAGTTTATTTGAATTCCATAAATCAAAGTTTTCTACCCAACATCGATGATGAACTGCACGGCAGCATTCTATACCCGGCTATTGTAGATTGTAGAACGGTCAGTCTGGTAAAGATCTTATTATTATACGAAATTGTAAAAGTTCACTGACTAAAGCTAGACTAAAACCTTTGTAAGTTTTAATCAACTAAAACTGAATAAGACTATTACATATAGCATGACTAAAAATTGTTGCTCATGAAACCTTCACCTTCCGATGAGAAGCCCTTCTTTCACTGGTTTGCATCATGTTGCGGGTAAAATGCAGGTAAAAAAACAGAGAGATGGCAAAAGTACTCACTTTTCGTACTTGAGTAAAAGTACAGATACTTGTGTTAAAAAATACTCTGGTAAAAGTAGAAGTACTGATTAAACTTCTTTACTCAAGTAAAAGTAACAAAGTACAGGCTTGTAAATTTACTTAAAGTATAAAAGTAAAAGTAGAAACCACTTTTTTCATGCCGTTGCCTACATTTTAAATGGATGTCTGCCAATAGGACTAGATCTCCATTGTGTTCATTTTCAATCATCTCGTCGTCCATGCTACTATGCTAACGCCACCGCCACCAAGCTGCAATGATTTGCCGCCAATGAATACCGCCGAATCTGTCGATTCATCTTGTAGTGGTGCGTCAAATGCAACGTAGATTCCCATCCAATTAGATTGAATTTGGTATTGATGGCGTGAAAAATAATAACGGTAACTCCATTGAAATGATTCAAAACTAAAGTAACGAAAGAATTTTTTAAAATGTAAGGAGTAGAAAGTACAGATATTTGTGTAAAAATGTAAGGAGTAGAAGTAAAAAGTCACCATAAAAATAAGTAGTAAAGTAAAGTAAAAATATCAGAAAAATCTACTTGAGTACAGTAACGAAGTATTTTTTACTTCGTTACTTCCCATCTCTGAAAATTAATGTGTGTTCATATGAAACATTGTAGAAATGAGATGCTTCACTCTGTCTCATGATTCAGTCGTGGAGCTTCCTGTCTTATGACCTGATCAACTGTCCTGTCAGAACAATACTCTGTTTGTAACCATGTGTTATGTTCTGTTAATAAAGCGCTCTGCAGAGGAGGTCCGGTGGGAGACAGAGTGTTTGAGCGTTGGGTGCAACTGTCTCTCCTCCTGCAGGAAGTTGTTTGAAAATCCCTGACTGTGTATTTCAGTTCTTCCTTAACAAACCTACATTTTTAAACCCAACACATCAGTTCAAAAAAGGAAGGAAATTATTTAAAACTCTCAGCTGTGTTGTATCTGCTGAGAGTTTAATCGTCACATTTATACGTCTGATTTTTTTTTTTCCCCTCAGCAGAATGTGGCTTATTGGCCCGTTTTTTTTCTTCTTTGTTTTGAAGGTAATGAGCCATCCCCGCTGGGCTCAGTGGAGAGCTACAACCCTGTGAAGCGGCGTTGGGAGTACGTATCGCCCATGCCCACTGCGCGATGCTCTTCTGCTCTGCTGCAGACGGCCAGCATCCTCTTCGTGATCGGGGGAGTCGCCCAGGGACCCAGTAACGCTGTGGAGGCCCTCTGCTTACAGGAGACAGTGTGACGCTGGCCTTAATGCAAACTGGCACCTGTTGTTTCCTTATGATGAGCAGAAACTGTAAAACAGGAGTGGGATCATATTCAGATACTCTCCTTTTGTGACGCTCCACAATCAAATCCACTCTCCTACTGGGATGTCAAAGACTTCTTCAATACGTGTCCTCAGAGGAAGGTTTTTTTAGAGCTGGACTCTGATGCAGATTACTGTGATTGGCTACAATAAAAAAAAAACTGCTAGCATTTCTACTCCATCAGAGGGAAGGAAACAACAACCCGACACAATCCTGGTTTCTGGAGAAACAACACGGCTTGAACTGTTGAGTATTTTTCAGAATAAAAGCAGGGTATTTTTCTGGATACTAAAGGAACATAGGGCCATATTTAAAACTCTCGGCAGCGGCGACGGTGCTGCCTTCTGCTGCGGCAGCAACAGCTGGAAACGACTCTTTTCTACATCCTCAGAAGCAGCGCTTGGTTTAGGTTTGGATGGTGGCATTCAGAGAGCGTCTGATGTTGCTGCTTTGTTCTGTAGGTCTGTTGTCATTTTAGGTGTGAACCTTAGCGCTGCTAACAACCGCTACATCAGCAGTGCTGGTCCCTGACATGCCTTCACACCACAAGCAAGTCAAGGACCTGCCGTCAGGAAAACCTCCTCTCTCCCCAACAGGAGCCCCTCTTTAGTTCAACCTCAATCAAGAAGGTGATTGTGGGTAAACTTCTCATTTACTTTGCCTCACATTTCAGCATTTCTAAACCACACTGTTCAATCCCCCCAACGCACACACAACAGTACACCCCCATACAATGCAGCTCAGTGTGGATTTTGCTCATGGAGTGAATGTAGAAGTACTTGCTGCACTGAAGCATCATGGTAAATTAGCTTCCTATCACATGGAGATCTTCTCCTCTGGAATTACCAGAGTTTGCTTTACTAGAAACATCAGCATGATGTCAGCCAGACGCTGGATGTCCGGCTGACCGCAGCAGTAGATGTACTTAGAAAACCCAGAGGCTCAATCTGTAAAGGCCAGTGCATGCACAGATCCGATTTTACGTCCGATCTGACAGAAAACCGTGTCGGTGGAGGCCGTGGCGTTTGACGCTCATTGAAATTCAATGGGGATGATCACACCCGACACGATTTTAAGCAATGTTGCTGCGTAGCTCCGACTGCGATAGAACCCTAGGCTATTTTCGTCTGACTATGCAGCAAATCAGCAACAATTTCATGGGTCTCACAGGAAGAGAGACGCAGTAACAAAGTAAAACACGTCTGCTTTGGCGGAAAATGCTGAATAAAATCTGTTAATCGCAAAGGGAAAGAGTCAGTTTGGAGTCGCATGTCACGTATATAGTAAGAGGGACAGTCTGGTGCAAAAGAAATGAATGAAACATTAAAATAGAAACACTGGAAAAAATCCAAATCTAGATGAGTCATTTTTTCTTAAAATAAGTGCATTTGTTCTTGGATTGAGGAGGTAAAAGAGACATGTTGCCAATGAAACAAGACAATTTACAATTAAAATTAGAAAACACATTTGCATTGTCTTATTTCAAGTGCATATTATCTAAATATCTTATTTTAAGAGTAAAATTGCTCATTCTGTTGGCAAACCATCTCATTTACATGCTCAAATTAAGGGTAAATACACTTAATTTAAGACATTTTTTTACTCATTTTAAGACATGTTTCACTCATTTTTAGACCATTTTTGCAGTGTACCCATGGTAGGAGTTCAGGAGGACAGAAAACACATAAAGTAGTGATCCTTTTTGGGCCTCACAAAAAAATGGAAAAAAAGAAAAACTCGAATAAACTTTCCTTCACTCACTTTCTTTTCTTTAGACGTACATCTCAATATGTTTTTATTATATGAACATTCTCTATCTGTTCTGGTTTGAGCTTTATAGAACCTGCTGGTGTTTTTTATTTATTTTTATTTAGATAGCTTTTTCCTAATCTGTGCAAGTGAAACGCTGCAAATTGTTTTAAGGTGTTTATAGTTTAAAGACAGAAGTGAAGAAAATCTGTGCAGATCTGCCCACCCTGCCTGATTGGAGCCTCTCTATAAGCATTCAGTGTGATGTGGAAAAACTGAACCGGTGGGTTCAGGGCTTAAAACCTAAGCTACCTAATTTTCTGATACCTCTTTATTTACCTTTAAACATAAAGTGTTTCTTAGAGGAAATCTCTCTGAACGGTGAAGCCATTCAAATTCCATCTAAAACATCTTTATTTCAGAGATCTGAAATACAAATCTGCAGAAACAATCATAAAAAAAAAACCTGCTTTCTAGAAACATCTAGAGGACATTTAGCCCCGGAGTATTGAGACCGACTTTGCAGGCCGCGTATATCAGGCAGGCTGTAAAAGGAAGACTTAAAAGTATCTATACTCAAGAGGATTTTAATTAAGGAAGTTTTATCAGTTAGGCCCATTTTTTGTTACAGGAAAAGTCTGGTCAGCGAGGAATAATCAATGCATCGTTATCTATGCCTAAAACTTATATGTTTGTGGTAATTTAATAAATTTAGCGTTAATCAGTAAAAAAACAATAATTTCTGATGTGATCACTGAGTCTGGGAGCGGCCATTTTTGACCAGATATAGTAGCCCCTCCCTCCTGCCATCTTCCAGCAGTGACGTCACGGTGCGGTAAGCCTAGCGCCATTCTCCCCGCTTTCCAAGCTAAATCAATGGGAACTACTAGACACATCTGCAATCAACAACAATTATTGAAGATTTCCAGAGGACTTCACCATTGAAATTCACCAGAGCTATAGTGAAACTGACAATGCCCACGTGCATGGCAGCTGGATGCTGGAATACATCGGGTAAAAGTGAAAAAAAGAGTTATTCCACCTTTCTGATTCCTGATCCTCCACGGACGGGTTGGTCGTTGGATCGCCAACTTGAAGAGGGAGGATTTGCCATCGAACTTCTGGCCAGAGAAAAAACCCGTAATATGTAGCCAACATTTGGAAGAAGAATGTTTTCAAGATGACTTGGATAATAGCGCGTTGTGACAAACACCAGATACAGCACTGGGACTTGATCAACAGCCGATACCGCACCGTGACGTCACTAACCAGTAGGTGGCAGTAGTGTTCTTTGACAAACATGGATGCCTCCAGTAAAGCACATTCAAATGAAAATTACTCTGAATTAAAAACACTTGAACAGTATGTAATAATCTCATATTTAAAGTACTTTCAGAAGTTTAAATTCTGAATATGACCGAACTTCTCTGTCCATTGTGAGACATTGTTTGGTTCAGATCATACTGTTCAGTCAGATTAGATTAATTAGTTTTAGGATATTTTATTGGCAAAATCATATTTATTGAGTCTTGATGTAATTTGGTGCCTGGAGGAAGTTTGATTAAACTGGTCAGTTTATTAGGACACATGTTTAAACAGAGAGAATTGAAGCTAATTAACAGATAATGCTCCCCACAGTCTAACATGAGGAGAGCATTAAAGGAGTTTAATCTCCACATTAAACACACTCTCACCCTGTTCGCTGTCTTGTCCAACTTTTATGCTTTTCCTGCCTTTTTGTTGGCTGACCTAACAGAGCCAGACATCCATGGCTGTTGGACAGTTCAGATGAGATACCGCCTGACAGTCGGTTATTTCTGGTGCTGCACTCTGCACCTAATTGGACACAGTATGTTAGGTAGGAGTGACTCTGTCATCACGCATGCATGTGCAGAAAAATCCACATGTTCACACTGCTGTTCATAAGGCTGAACGCACACTGTCCGATTTATTTAATCACATATCAAGTTTATCTTCCATCTATTTCATTAAAACACTGCTTCTCTTTGCCTTCAGTTCTTCCGCCGCCTTGTGTCCTGCTTCCCTCCGGAGGTAGCAATCCGTGACAACATAGATTTAAAAAATATGAAGTTTATGTTGATAGTTCTAAACACAAAACTGCATATCTCACATTAAATGCTTCAAATCATTTTAGTAAAAGCGATTTAATTTGGAAATATGATTTAATAAAGTTCAAATGTGCAATGCTTCCCGAGAGAAGATGAAAAACAAGGAAAGGTCACATTTAAATTTGTAGATTTACATTAGTTGAGCCCTCAGTAGTAGAAGAGCTTCTGATACCATGTTATGATGAGATTCATTATGTTTGCATTAGTTTATTGGGCTGTAGGGGATTTAATTAATGTTGCAATGCCACAAGCTCCTCCACCCAGAGCCTCTTATGTTGAAATAACCGTTAGCCCAGAAAAACACACAAATAGATGAGCAGCTTAGAGGCAGATGAACCAGTTAAGAGGAAAACAGCAGCAGCTGCCTTCTTCTCCATCCAGCAGGCTAGATGCAACATTACAGCTCATTTGCAGTGATGTTTCTAGCAACCTGTGGCGACTCCTGGGGAAACTGTGTCTCTTTAGTGACTTCATGTTTTGCAGCTTGTCCCCCTGTGCTGTTCTGAGGTGAACAGGTAGTGACGATGTCAGAGATTTGGATCACAGGGCATCTAGTCATTCAGTCAAAGCTATTTAGCTCACCAGCAGACAAGGAATAAACCCAAGGGTCCCTAATCTGTGTGTATAGAGGGTCGTCAGTTCTCGACGCTCTCAGTGGGAAATTCTTTAGACTTAGACAGATTTGTTTTGTCATTTTTTTATACACAAGTGTAAACAAAAAGAAATTTAGTTTAGAACAGCTCTCTAGACAATTTCATTTTTTTAAAGTGCAGCCTTGATAAGGTAAGCAGAAGTTGTTGTTGAGCTGCTACTACTGCCTCCAGCTCCTGAAGCACTCACTTCTCCTGGCTTAGGGGAGGAAGAGGACGATGATGACGATACTATGAGGGTGGTAGCCCCCTGGGTTAAAGAGGCTGACGTGGTTGAAGCTGCAATGGTGCCATTGGCAGGTTTAGCAGCGACAGACATTATTTTTATTAGAAGAAAAGAGTGATAGAAGGACTACAATACATTCACTGCTATCAGGCATGGCAATATGTCTCAAAATCCAGTCCCAGAGGGCAAGTGTCCTGTAAGCCTCGTGAGACCATCCTGATCTCGCGAGCTTTCAAGGTTTCACTCGCAAATCAGTCTGGAGACTCTCCGTTAAAGAAAATTTGGAGCCGTTCACCAAACGAACGTCCAATCAGCGTTGGCTTTGAGGCGGGTTGAGGTGTGACGCAACGAGAAGCGCGACAGTTCAGTCTAAAGAACATGGCGGCTTCAGCCAATGAAACTAGCGTTAGCTTGGCTATCGAGCAAGTTTTATCGGAATTACAGAGTATTTCTTCACTGAAAGAAGAGCAAAACACTGCTCTGGAGGCTTTTCTCAGAGGAAAATATGTTTTTGCTCTTCTCCCGACTGGTTTCAGCAAGAGTTTGATCTATCAATTGGCTCCTCTTCATCGTCGCTCTGTTAGTACGTCATATGCTTCGTTGATCTGATTGGTTTATTTGGCCCGTCTATCACCAACATAGGCCAATCAGCTAACCGGTATTTTCGCCCCTTCCCAAAATTACTTCAATGGAAGGTTTCCAGATGGATATGCGGAGCAAATCCATCTGGCGGAGTCAGGTTAGTGTCCTGTTGCTTTAGGATGTGTCCTCCTCTCCACACACCTCAATCTAAAAACTGGATTACCTCCCTAACAGCAGTGGCAGATGAAGTACTCAACATTAGTACTTGAGTAAAAGTATTGATCCACATAATCAAATCTTACTGAAATACAAGTAAAAGTTAAGGTTAAAGTCAGTCAAACATCTAGTCAATTTAAAGTATTGAAGTACTCACTTTTGAAAGTAATTAAGTATTCAAAAAGACAAATTTAATATGCCAATAGTAATTTCTGCACAGTTTTCACAATGAGTCCAGTAACTTTCAGAAACCACCTGAAGTACAGATTTTACACCACCTGTAAAGAACGTTAGCATAAAAAGGCCTAAAAGAATAAGGACAGCTATTATAATTATTATTTCTTATCTAAAAACAAAAAAAAAAGAAAACAGGAGTATCTTGATCTATGCTGGTGAAGATTCTCAGTCATCCAGGTCATTGTCATTCAAAAAGAGTTAAAAAACAATCCACTGGACTTTGTTTTCAAGTTTGAAGACGTTTCGCTTCCCATCCAGGAAGCTTTTTCAATTCAAATTGTCAGAAATAGCGTTGAGTTCGAAGCTTTATATTAGTGTTGTGCTGATGCCATTTTTGGCCCCTATACCCAATACCTGGCTGTGCAGTATTGGCCAACATCATACCAATACCATCTGTTTGAAATTGATGTGTGTGTATACATGAAGAACTGCATACTGCTTGGATGTAAAATAATTGCCATCATGGCTTTGCCAAGCTGCTGCCTGCCTTTGTGAAGCAGGAAAAAGACTAATACAAAGTGATTCCAGTAGATTTTTTTTTATTGCCTACCTGGAATGGGTGACAATAGTTGAATAACCTTTTGGTTCTCAAAATGGTATCGA